GCCCCCAGGTCTGGGGTGGGGCCCATAAATTTGCATTTCTAATGAGATCAACTTGATATTGATACTTCTGGCCTGGCCCACAATTTGAGAAACACGCAGTATCAGCTGACACATAAAAACATGTTAAATGAACACCTTCCTGTAGACTCTTTATTCCTCAGAACAAGTTGCTCATAATTTTAAGGATGAAGAGAGATGAACTAGTGATCATCGGGTAGAGATTATAGAAATTACTGTATCTGTGTCTTCCTCACCAGGATTGTTAACCAGCTATTCTTAATTGAGAGGAGGGAGCAGAAAGGCAGACTTTTAACTGTCAAGGGGAAAAGGAACTTCAGATTTCTGTGCTTCTGCTTTGAGTCCTTAGGTACTTTAATGTGTTTATCAAAAATGCAAAAGCTGATTTCAGTTTGTATTATTTCTGTGGGATAGAGAGCACACAATAAAAATTCTACTTGGATTTAAAGCTCTTTTTGGAAGCCAGGAGATTTTAAAATAGTAGTCCGGTCCTACATGAAGTCAAATTAATTGGTGTTCTTAAATAAAAAATAATTTCACATATTGTATTATTTAAAAAAATAAATAACCCAAACTCAAAAGGGGATGTGGGGTGGGTAATAGGACAGATGTTGTTTAAGGATACAGGTTTATGAGTTGTAAATAAACCCAATGCACAGTAAAGTAAATGCAGACAATATTGTATTATAATCAATAAACTTGCCAAGAAACTAAAAATTAATTATTCTAACCACTAAAAAAGGATAATTATATAATATGATACAGTTGCTAATTATTGCCTCAATCGCAATAGATACATTACAACGTACTAATATAACTAACATGTGCACCTTACATCTGCACCATGTTTTATGTCAAATATATTTCAATAATAAAAGGAAATTGTATTTAAGATAATCTAAAATTCTAATCTTGAGACTATTTGAGGGCTGGAACTGTTATTGGGACTGAGGAATCAAAGCTAATGGTTGTAGTTTTACTACATTGAAATTGTACAGTAGAATAAAGACTAGCAACTGTTTGCCAAATATAAGTATCTTCCCAGGTTTGTTGAATGAGTATGTTATTTTCTAAAACTTTCATGTGTTATATACAAATGCTCTTTGTGAAAGTCTTTAAATTATTAAGCCATTTGTTTTTGTAAATATTTTGAATACAATGAAAGTGTTTATTCTACTCACATGTTGATACCATTTCTCTTTTTGTTGTTGTTAATCCTCCTCCGAGGATATTTTTCCATTGATTGTTTTAGAGATAGTAGAAGGGAGGGGGGGAGACAGAAACTTCGATGTGAGAGAGACACATTGATTGGTTGCCTCCTCCACACGTCCTGACCAAGGCCTGGGATCGAGCTTGAAACTGACTGGAATTGAACTTGGGACCCTTCAGTCTGCAGGCTGATGCTCTATCCAGCGAGCCAAACCGGCTAGGGCATGATACCATTTCTTGATCAATAGAGAAAGGAAATTGCAAACATTCAAAGCTTTCCCTTGATTTTTCTGTGATGTAATCACTGGAGGTACAGCTGTGGAATCCCCTTTTCAGGAATTTATGAACTAATGACAAAGATGGACAGTTAACAGATCATTGCACTAAAACAAGGTAGAGGGTGTTATCACAGTCTGGGTGGGGGCAGGGGAAGCCAGTGGTAGAGTGCTCAGTTCTTCAGAGGTGAGATTGGCATCAACAGTCTAAATTCTAGAAGAAGTGATAAGATACACAGATAATGTTGATAATGCTGGATAGGCAGTGATATGTTAAAGGAAGCAGACAGATAAAGTGCTTTTTGTTTCTAGAGAAAGAAATTACTTGTTTTAGGAGACCAAGGAAGTCCTCAGTAAGGATGATGCTAAGCCCCACCTGATCACCTCCTGTTCCCCCCAGGACGAGCCTTGGACAGGCCCCCTTGCTCACCCTGTGTGCTGGCTGTTTCAGGAACACACCAAGCTTATTTCCACCCCGGGGTTCTCACATGCCAGTTGCATAGGAAGCCACCCCCCAACCCCCTTCTTGATTTGGTTCATTGTTAGAATATCACCTCCTCAGGGAGGCTTTGCTGACCTCGGCATCTAAAGCATGTACCCCTCCTCCCCATCAGCCTCCATTTCTCTTCTCTGTGTTATTTTTGTTCTGACACTTAGCACTGTAAAGAAGTTAGAATGTTTTTGTTCATCTGTTTGTTGTCTTGTATTCCCAATTAGAATGTTAGTTTTATGATGGGAGGTGGCAGGAATTTTTTTCCTTTTTTTTTTTTTTTTTTTTGGTTCACTACTGTTTTCCTAGCGCCTGGAATGTAAGAAGTATTTGATAAATATTTATTGAATGAACAAATGAACATTTAATTGCTTAAGGTATGAGTTCCAAGAGCCAGAAAAGAGAATGATTTTATAATTTCCAGCTTGGACATCGGAAATCTAGAATTTATTTGGAACAGCCTGATGTGAAACACTAACTTAAAAAGTACTTCTTTATTAAAACATAAAACTAATATTATATTAGTTTCAGGTGTGCAAATAATGATTTGACATTTATGTACCATATGATGGTGAGACACAAACTTTTGACTTCATTTTTGGATTGTCCCTGCTAATGTATAGAAAAATGTGATTGATTTTTATGTATTCATCATTCAACTGTGCTGAATTCCTTTATTAGCTCTAAAATGTTTTTCTTTTGTGTGTGTATAAACTCCTTAGACTCTTCTGTATACCAGCTTATGACACCTGCAAATAGAAATGGTTTTACTTCTTTCTTTCAAATTTGGATGTCTTTTATTTCTTTTTCTTGCCAACTTGCCCTGGCTAGAACTTTGAGCGCAGAAGTGAATAGAAGTGGTGAGAGCAGAGCCTTTATCTTGATCTTGATCTTAATCTTAGTGGGAAAGCATGCAGCCTTTTACCCTTGAGTATGATGTTAGCTGTGCGCTTTTTCATAGATGCCCTTTATCAGGCTGAGGGAGTTCCTTTTATTCCGAGTTTGTTGAGTGTTTTTATTACCAAAGGATGTGGGATTTTGTCAAATGCTTTTTCTGTGAAAATTGAAACTTTTCGATTTTTTAAAAAAAATATATTTTATTGATTTTTTACAGAGAGGAAGGGAGAGGGATAGAGTTAGAAACATGGATGAGAGAGAAACATCGATCAGCTGCCTCCTGCACACACCTTACTGGGGATGTGCCCACAACCAAGGTACATGCCCTTGACTGGAATCGAACCTGGGACCCTTGAGTCCGCAGGCTGAGGCTCTATCCACTGAGCCAAACCGGTTAGGGCTGAAACTTTTAGATTTGATTTCTTCTTTTTAGAGCGCGGATTGCAAGACCAAACCCTCCTCTCTCCTTCTGACCCCTATTGAGCAGGGGTTTGGGACTTTCCCACTTTCCCCCTGAGCTCTCTGACTGCCTGGAGCGGTCTGTCCCAGGGTGAACTGTCCCAGATGCCTGCGATTGTCCTTGGGGAACAACTGATGGCGGGTGTTGCCCTGTAAGTCTCAGAAACGGACTGCTGGAATGTGCTGCCCTGTCTGGTGTGCACACCACCGCCGTGTTTGCTTGGCGGGTGTAATACTGTCAAAGCACTGTTGAATGAGCTGATTGCGAGCTGTTGATATAGTTCAGACCTTGGCAGTTCTCTAATCTCCTTGAAGCTTTAGTGTTTGATTGCATTCGTTTGCCCTGCAAATAGTCAATGATGTAAGTGATCTCAAAGTGAGAATATATCTAAAGCTGGTATTTATAATAGACAAGGTTCTAAGGAGTGCTGAGACCTTGTAAAATACACATATGGACTTCCTGAGCGTGTAATGAAGACTTCTACTCATTGGGGCCTTGTCAAGCAGCCATATTGCAGGCATGATTTGGTTGCATAGGACTTCTATTTTTGATGTTAAAATAACATCCCTTAAGTGAGTTGGTGAAAAATAAGCTATCAAGCATGAGAGGTGAAGGAATAGGTAGGATATCTAAAAATGGTGTTGTGTTAATTTAGTAAGTTCAATAGATTGAGGCATATTAGCTTCTTTGTTGGGAAAGTTCTGCTGTCCAATATTACACCATGCTTTTATTAAGGTGTTAAAATAGCACTAATATTTCTTAGAATTTTTGGCTATTTATTGGAAAACCACATACATGTTTGGATCTCTTTTTAGGAGTGGGTCCTGTCCCTTTTAATCACGGAGCGCTGTTGGATGCTATTTAAGTTTTAGCTTGAAATTTTTATATTATAGTTCATCTAGTTACCAAAAATGCTGAGAATCTATGGCTATGCTCATATGGCTCAAACTCCACTGAGATGCCATGAGAAGGGCCTCAACATAATGTTTGATTCTTACCAATTAGCCTGTAAAGTATTGATTTATGTTATTATTAATGACTTCATTTTATAAAAAGAAAACTGAGTCTTGGGCTGATTGCTCCCTAAAGCTATATTGTTAAATGGGGAGTATGGATTTGGTTCCAGGCAGTCCATCTCCACATTTTGTACTTTTACGCACATCCTAATTCATCAACTAATTCTTCAGTCACATTCATGATAAATATTAGGATTTTAGTATCTTAGAGATGGTTTTCTCAAGCTTTCAGCTCATAATTGAAATAAACCCCGTTGGTTATATTCTTGACCAAAAAGTCAGGTAGTCTGAGCTTGAATGCACCAGCACTGAAGAGCTAATTACTTCACATTGGCAATCTTTTTCATTGTTGGATAAGTTCTTCTTTATTTTGAGGCAATCTGAAGGTCAGGCTAGCTTTTCTAGTAATTGTAGTGTATTGCTGTCTTTATTTAAACATGCAGGCAATTAAATGCTCCACTTTTATTTTATTTTTGTAACAGCTTTATTGAGGTAGGATTCACATGCCATGCAGCTTACCCATCTAAAGTGTTTTTCTTATATTCATTGAGTTGAGCAACCATCACAGTCAATTTTAGAACATTTCATCACCCTCAAAAGAAGCCCATACCCTTAAGTAGTTATCTCCCATTTTCCATCAACATCCCCTAGCTGTAGGCAACTACTAATCTTTTTTTTTTTTTTTTAATAAATTTGCCTATTTAGGACATGATAGGAATGAAATGTTACAATATGTGGCCTTTGTGACTGTCTTCTTTTAGTTAACATAATGGTTTCAAGATTCATTTATCTTGTTGCATGTGTCAGATCTTCATTCCTTTTGATGGACAAAAATAGTCCATTTATGAGTATATACCGCATTATGTTTATCCATTCATCATTTAATGGACATTTGAGTAGATTCCACTTTTTGGCTATTAAGGATAATGCTGGGCTAAACATTTGTTTTGTTCCAAATGCTTTGTGGGCTGAACAGTCTGGTTTTTCCCTGCCCCTGTACCCTGTTTGCTTGTTGATTAATCTGAATATACTATTTTACATGGTAAAACCCTAGATAGTTGGTTTCAGTTTGGTTCCATTTTGCTGGATGTTTGAAAAAAAATTTTTTTTAGATAGATTGTGTGATCTGTTCATTCCAACCTTTGTATATCTTGTCAATTGGTTAAACCTCCCATCTCTGTCTTCATCCACATCTTAGTTCATAATACGGTACATGTTGGGGGTGTCTTCTCCAGCACAAGGCTTGTTACTATGGGAGAGGCAGGGCCGTCTCCTCCCAGCCACTGCTCTGTGTACAATCAGGAGACTAACACATTTTTTATGTTCATATGAAGTATTTCAGGTTCTGAAAACATCCTTTTATTTCTGCCAGCACCAAGGTGGCCTGGTATTACAGGGTTATCCATGCCAATTTCTCATCTCTGTTTAGGTCTGAATTAGTTGTTTTGTGTTCCAATGCAGATCAGAATTTGAATTGTGGCTCTTGCACCGCTTACTCTCAGATTGACCTTGGGCAAGTTAGCGGAAGCCTAACCTGGTTAATTTTCTCATGTGGAAAATGGGGGTAATAGAGGCACAGGCTTCACAAAGTTATTGAGAGACTGAAGGAAGGGATTCATGCAGACTACTCATCGAATGCAGGGCATGCACAGATCAAGTGCAGCCCTTCCTGTGCCTTCCAAGCTCCTTTCCTGGAGGTACCCGTTTCCCAAGGAAATGAAGCTGTGACGTTGCAGCACACATCCGTGGAACGTTAGATTTCTTTGGGTTTGACCAGGTTCCACACTGCCCTTCCTCAGCAGTGTAATCCAGCATTTTCGTGTGCACTTATCATCGTTGGCCATTCACTGCAAGGACAGATGTCAGTCACCGCTGAAACTGCTGGTCACCCTGCAGAGAAAACTTGTGCACAGGAACACAGCCCAGCCCTTTGAGGATCTGCCTTCCTAGTGATGGTGATGAGGATAGCCATCTTATCATTCAAGTCTGTGGGTTCTTAGTTATCCAGACTGGAGTCATCTTGTTAAGAGAACTGTGTGTAATCTCCACATCATAATCAGATTTCAGTTACCATTCAGAGCTATGACTCAGTCTTATGGAACTTCAAGGACACAATTTAAAGAAAACATTCCTGTTGCCTTTTAAAAGGTTTTTTTTTTTTTTTTGTCTTTTGGTTTGTCAAACTTTTGGCCATTATTTTTAAGGTTGTGATACCAAGTTGATATTTGAAGATATTCCACAGCCCAGCCCTTTGAGGCCTTAAAAAAAACAAAAAGACTGAGGGAAGACAGACATCTTTATTGCTAATTCTCTTCAGATGCTGTTATGGAAATGATGTTTTCTGTATTCAAGTTGAAGAATATTTAAGGTAATATTTGTATGTAGTTGTTTTATTTTATGTTTAGCAGAATGTCAGGGCCAAAGCATGGGATGTATTTATCAGATTTATGTACAGACTCCGTAACAAAGGGGGACACATTTTACAAGAACCCTGTGAACTTATCCAAGCCCCACAAACAAGATACTTAGGTTTCATTGCATGAAAGTGTCTTTTGACTGCCAGTTATCAGGGTTCTTGCCTGGTTTGGTGTTCATAAGACAGAATATTTTATTTTTAGTTTATCATGGATATAAACAACCTTGAACTTGTTGACTTTGGAGAACACCTAGTGTTTTCCTAATCCCATTTTGAGAAACCTTGCCCCAGAGGTGAGTCAGCTGGTAGGAAGTGAGGGCTCTGATTGTTCCCAGAAGGTTGCAGTGGTATATTTATGAAGCTCTGGGTCAGGCTATGAGATGTGATCTCTTCTTCTGAGATTTTGTTTGGTTGCAAGTTTGCAGGTAATTTTGTTTAAAAAAATTATGTCTACGTATTTGTATATATAACTTAAATATATATATTTGTGCACTCGGAGGTAGGGAGTCCCTCATCCCGGCCTGTGCCCTCTCGCAGTCTGGGACCCCTTGGGGGATGACTACCTGCTGGCTTAGGCCTGCTCCCTGGGGGGGATTGGGCCTAAGCTGGCAGTCAGACATCCCTCTGGCAGCCCGGGAGCCCTCGGGGGATGTCCACTTGCCAGTGGGCAGCAGACCTAAGCTGCAGTCGGACATCCTTAGCACTGCTGCGGAGGCAGGAGAGGCTCCCACTACCACCACCATACTGGCAGCCATCAGCCTGGCTTGTGGCTGAGCAGAGCTCCCCCATGTGGGAGCGCACTGACCACCAGAGGGCAGCTCCTGCATTGAGCATCTGCCCCCTGGTGGTCAGTGTGTGTCATAGTGACCAATCATTCCCAGTTGTTCTGCAGTTAGGGTCAGTTTGCATATTACCCTTTTACTATATAGGATAGAGGCCTGGTGCACGGGTGGGGGCCGGCTGGTTTGCCCTGAAGGGTGTCCCGGATCAGGGTGGGGGTCCCATTTGGGTGCCTGGCCAGCCTGGGTGAGAGGCTGATGACTGTTTGCAGCTGGTCACACCCCCTTCAGGGTGGGGGTCCCCACTGGGGTGCCTAGCCAGTCTGGGTGAGGGGCTGAGGGCCGTTTTCAGGCTGGCCGGCAACTGAAGCTCCCAGCCTCTCCTTTTTTTCTATTTTTTTTTTTTTATTCTGGGATTTATTTACCTTCTATAATTGAACCTTTGTTGCCATCCTGCTCGCTCCAGCTCTGAGGCCGCAGCTGGCTGAAAGCAGGTATCTGGGGTTTGCTTGGCTTCTATAATTGAAACTTTGTTGCTTTTGGAGCTGTTGCTTTTGGAGCTTAGAGCAGGCCACAGCAGGTGGGGAACCTTGGCTTCCTCCATCACTGGAGCAAGCAAGCCTCCTGCTCGCTTCAGCTGCATGGCTGCTGGCCGCCATCTTTGTTGGCAGTTAATTTGCATATCTTGCTGATTAGCCAATGGGAAGCGTAGCGGAAGTATGGTTAATTACCCTTTTTGTCTTTTATTAGATAGGATTATTACTTATTAATGTACTAGGTGCCCGATGCATGAAGATTCATGCAAGAATGGTCCTTCTTTCCCCTGGCTGCTGGCACTGCCTTTGCTCCAGCCCGGAGCCACCTTTCTGCCTTCCCACGCTGCCCAGAGGCCCGGAGCAGCTGGGGCGGTGTGGAATGCCTGCATTATTGCCCTGGCAATGACGCAAGCATCCTACCCCACCCCTGGCCGCTTGGCACCTATTTATGAAAATTAACCCACCATCTTTGTTGGGTTAATTTGCATACTCACGGCTGATTGTCTGGTGGGTGTCACGAAGTTATGGTCAATTTGCATCTTTCTCTTTTATTAGTGTAGATTATTTTCCATCTGAAAAACTGTAAACCTACTTTTGCTCCACCCTGCATTTTTAAAGGAAAATCACTGAGTTAATGGTGACTCTCATTTAGGTGCTGCTTCTAATTCATTTAAGGCTTATCAGCTTTTGTGTGTTGTCTCACCACAGATGGGCTGTGCTTCTGTTTAAAAGAGGGGCCATTAGTACTTACATAGAAACTTAATCCGGGTTTAGGACTGTCAACAGATGCTTTATGAAATCTGACAGCGATTAAGAAAAGAACCAATTCCTTTGTTTGGTTTGGGAGGGTTGGGGCCCAAATGTAGAAGCATAGTCATTGGCAGTCATTTCAGTGCTCATGCCTTTTAGGAAAATTAAAAGCCGGAAACCTTGCCTTCTGCAGAGATCTGAGGTTTAGGATGGATGGGTCTAATTTGGATTTGCATTAGCATTTAATGGCCCAGGGCCCTTTCCTGTGGCCTGGTGCACATTTAGCTAATGAATCCCTTCAGAGGGGACCTCTTTGGCCACAGGAGGTCATGTCCAGCTTCCCAGTCTGCAAGTGCCAGAAGGAAACCGGGCTCAGCCATCGCAGGGCTCACCTGCAGGGCTGTTTTTGTGCTTCCCATTCCCCGGGATTGTTAGTTTATAAAAATCAAAGGGCCGAGGCAGAAGCCCAAGTGCAGAGCCTGAGTTATTAACTTGGCTCCTCTGGCCATTTTTCACAGCCTCCAGCCACCTTCCAGCCAGACTCCCTGCCCTGCTGTGGTGGGCGCCTTTCTCACCTCTGCCTGCGGGTCTGCCTGTAAAGCCCTCATTGAATTGAGTTAAGACTGTTGATTCCACTTTCCCGTGTACAGCTTGTCAGTACTCTTTGCTCTGCTGCCCTCTGTGAGGACTTTTCTTGGCTGGCCTTGGGGCAATCATCTCTTAGGTTCACAGATGCTGCTTTGTTTGGGGGAGGGGGGTAGCAGCCCAGGGGCCTCTGACCATTCTGGGAAAGTAACTAAAGAGTGGTCTGGACCCCAGAGCCAGCTCTGCAGGAGCAGAGGCGTGGCCTGCTATCCCAGGACAGTTCGGCCTGGTGCGCAGGGAACTGTGGAGCCAGAGCGAGACCCGAGCCTCGCGTGGACCCCGTGTGTGTTTTCTTCGCTGCCCTTTGTAACTGAGTGGATGTAAACCCAGCTGCATCCATCCTGACCTTTTGGAGAACTCACAGACTCCGAACTGGACTTGACAATCATGAAGCTTTGGTTGTGACTTCTGGTGATTCTATATGTGGTGGAGGCTTAGATGTTTAAATGTGTATGGATTTTAAAAATTAAGAGTAGCTTTCCATACTGAGTGACCGAGTAGAAGAGAAGGGTGGTTTTTCCCTCTTTGAATTATAGCTAAAAATGAGGACTGAGTGATGAAAATAAAAGATGGTTATTTTGCAGCTCGATAATGAATCAAGGCATGTGGGCTTCAACACTTAAATTTTACAACACAGAAAGGGACAGCCAGATATTCGGGGCCCTGGTGGTAAAGCATGTTACCTCCCAGGAAGTAGTCTTGCAACTCCCACCCTCCTCCTCCACATGAAAACAAAAAGACCTGAGTTTCCTCAAGCGTCTAAGAACCAATTTTCAGGAGTGACAAAGGAATAAAAACATGATAAATAGCACTATGGGAATATCATAGGTAAATTCTAGACTGGCTGAAGATCTGGAGTTTTTAATGAAAAAATTGCGAGTGGAGAAATGGGGAGGAGAACCTATAGATTAAGGATTTTAAAAGACCTGCCTTAGAATCTCTGTATTGATGGTATTTGAATCCTGATTCAATTTGGAAATTTTTACCCTTGATTGGAAATGGGACAGAATTAGGGAACTATTTAAATTTTTTTTAGGAGTGAAAATAGTTTTATGGTTTTTTTTTTTTTTTTTAAATAGCCGTATATTTTAAAATATTTGTGAATGAAATAGTGTAATTAAGATTGATTTCAAATAACATGCCAGGGGAGAATGTGGATGGGCATTGTGAAGTAATACTGGCCCTAGGCAGTGAGTGGGAGGGGGAGGGCTTCTATTTATTTTAATGTTTGTTGAAAATTTTCCATAATTAGAAATAAAAGGGAGAGATATGTAAAGGTATCTCTGAAAAAGCCTTTTCTAATATAAAAGCCACATATGTTCATCATAATAAATACAGGTAAAGTAATTCTGTCTTTGAGTTAGTTACCTTGAATACCTGTTTATATGTGTGTACGTATACTAGTACATGTCAGATTTTTTTGGATAAAAATGAATACTATTGTACTCTGTTGGGACTGTTTATTTAGCCTGTTGTTCTAGGCCAGCCATGGGCAAACTACGGCCTGCGGGCCGGATCCGGCCAGTTTGAAATGAATAAAACTAAAAAAAAAAAAAAAAAGACCGTACCCTTTTATGTAATGATGTTTACTTTGAATTTATATTAGTTCACACAAACACTCCATCCATGCTTTTGTTCCGGCCCTCCGGTCCAGTTTAAGAACCCATTGTGGCCCTCGAGTCAAAAAGTTTGCCCACCCCTGTTCTAGGCGATTAAATACTCTGCTGAAACATTTAGAATTGACAGTAGAGAAATGTTTGATTTAATGCTTACATTAAATGTGATTTTTATTTAACTATTGCCTTATTGTTAAATAAATGGGTGCTTAAAATTTTGGATCTTAGGATGAATGCTATGATGAAAATCCTTCTCACTAAATCTCAACACCTATCCTTCTTTAAATAAATTCCTTGTGAGTGTTAAGGCAAGATCCATCTCCACTATTTTAGTTAGCTTTTGCTTATAGATATATTCAATATATACATGTAGTAAAGGTGCCATCTTTTTAACTTAGGTTTGGTCATGTAGCATCTGTAAAATACGATGACTATTCAACATTTTCATCAAGCTAAAAACTGATCCCACCCTATGCTCTGACATTCATTAGTCTGAACGTAGAAATTTCCTTGTAAGCAAGGAGCACTGAAGTTGCAATAGAAGATGACCGTCAGTGCTCATATTCCATACAAATTTGGAAAATAACTTAATTTTGTCCTCACCAGTGTTTTAAAATGTGTTGGGT